TACGTACGTACGACGACGACGACGACGACGAGAGAGAGAGAGAGAGAGAGAGAGAGAGCCTTCTTTCGGAGTAGAAAGAAGAAGTTCGTAAAAAGACGAAGGTTGTTTGTTTTTCCTATCGACATTTTATTGTAATTTCGATCTGTTGCACAACAATGCGAAACTTCGAAGAAATTGTAACAATATTATATATGTATGCGAAGCGTATATTATTTCTTATATAGGCTTCACATACATAAATATTTTTTTGTATGAAGCTAACAAAGAAGCTAATATATTTTGACAGCTTAACTTCGTGGATTTATAAGAGACAATTAATCGTTTGATAACCGATGAAAGAACAAGAGATAGTTAATCGTGTATTTTCTTTTAAAATTAAAGTTAAATTAAGATTATTTTTTACCTTTTACATTTTTCTTTCAAATTTGAAATTATAAAGGAAAAAATATTTTTATGTTATTTTTACGTATTTTAAGAATCATTTATGAATCAATTTTCTTTATTGCAAAACACTTAAACGGAAAATAATGATTATTCGACGATTAACGACATAATGAAAAAACAAGATATATACATGATTTCAAACTTTTATAAAAATTTTATGAATCTTTTTTTTGAATATTATTTATATAATATAATAAATGTCGTATTACATATGTTAATATTCTTAATAATAATAATATATTTTTAGAAAGCATATTATATCTCAATGATTTTAATAAAAAAAATAATTTTAAGACAAAGTTGAGTAATTCATGATAAAATACTTTTACATTTCATATAAAAGGCAAGATTGAAATGCAAGAATAGTAACCATAGAAGTACGTACTGTTGGATCGTTAGATACGTGTTTTAATACATCTGTATAATTTCGTGAGTAAACAGATTGTGAAATTGCTTAAGAAATCTCGAAGAAAAATAATATTAATTATGAGCGAGCAAGAAGATATTGCGATTGCGATAATTCGAATGGAAAAACTTTTATCGAGCATTACAAATAAGATAGAGAAATCGGTAATCAAAAACGCGGCAAAATTCTCACAAACAAATGAATTTCTTCGTTTTTTTTAAAACGAAAAACATTAATTTTTTTGTTAGGTTTCTGTATTCGAAAAAAATATCTTTAAATATATCCTAAAATTTTTTATTTTAATTTAGTAATATTTTAATTTTATTATAATTTAATTAAATTTATTTTAATTAATTATTTGGATTTTATTTTTTATACAATTTTATTGAATGTCAAGCTTAATATTTTGTGTACTTTATTTCTCTATCCTGCTTTTTCTATTATCATTAATAGATTGAAAAATGTGACACTCGCGATTCGTCGAGGCTTCGAGAAATCATCAATCTTATCAATTTTCTTAAGAAATCCGTTGTATCTCGAATGAAGAGAACTCCTGAAGCAGAATGCGCGTATGTTATCAATTTGCAAGATTGCCGGGCAAAAGTAGCGGAAACTTTGGCGGAACTTGAAGGTAAACTTGACAAAAAAAAATGTTTATAAATGTTAATATAAAATAATATCTTTTTATTGTATTATTTAAACGCATTTTTTAAACGTAAACTAAAATAATAATTGGCAGCTTTACAGGAGATATCCGCAGAGCAAACTTCAAATTTCGAGATTTTTCTAAAAGATATCGTCACTTGCATAAACAATGAAGAAGAAATAATGCGTAGCATCAAGGAAACGTCAGAAATAGAGATATCAAAAGAAATGTATTAAAAAATTTATTATTTATTTAAACAAAAATTATGTCGCGAATAGTATGCGTAACAATTTTAATGTTTTGTAGGAAGGAATCAATGCAGGAAATGCTAATTGTAAGAGAACGAGAAGAAGCACAAAAGAAGCTACTTCAATCTGAAGTGGATTCAGCGGACTGCAGATTGCATGGAATTATAGAAGTCAACGCGACGAACGAAACGAAACTTTTCGATATGTGGTAAATACGATGTGATCTTCGTAAATCTTCACGCAGTTTAGACGATATTTATTTGAATTTTTATGTTTTAGTGCAAAAGTTGAACAAGAATACACCACCGTTCTTGCTAAGTACGATTGCGACATCGGTGCGTTTCACGCATTGATGGAGAAATTGTCAGAAGATCACGAAGCTATTAAAGCAGAAATTAGAAATATGGAGGTTTGTAATACATTTGACTTGAAATGTTGAATTTTGTTGAGCTATAATTAGCTTTTTTATCAGGATCAGTTGACTGTGCAACGAACACTATACGTTCGATACAAGAAAGAACGAGAAATCGCACTGATGAAAGCTTTCACTGAAAAATTGGAATTCTTCAGATATAATCGAGCCGCCAAGATTATTCAAAGAGCGTGGAGGGTGTATTTTGAGCGTATTTCTTTAAAGAAACGACGAAAAATGAGGAGGAAAAAATAGTTTTATCAGATAAATAACTACCCTGACAAAAGTAACAATCCGAAGCGTAAGTATTGTTATTTGTAAGTGTTATTCTAGAAAAAAAATAATGATAGAAGCATGAATGAATCTTCTAGCAAGTGTAAATTGAAACATTGGAACGTAAAAGGAACGTTTCACTTCTAAAACATTCTGGTTCAAAACATTTTTATTTCCGCCAAGATTCCATAAGTTAAACGAATAGATGATATGATTTTATCAATACATACAACTTCCGCAAAAAAAAAGCAAAAATATAGGGCCGAAAATAATATAATGATGCTAAAATCTATCGCCATAAAGAAATAAAAATTAGATAGAAGGAAAAAGCAAAATTGATTTATTTTATTCACTGAGTTGACAAAGCATGGCCGCGCCTCTTAAAATCCAGTGTTCGGACGGCTTCACTGTGGGCAATCGTATGGCTATGACAAAGTTTGTGGAGTGACCAGTGGTGGACAATACCCCGCGACGTTCGCTGGTTTTATAAAGTGGACAAACATATATTTGTCTATCTTCAATATCTTCCTTTTTCATCGGAATCAGCCACAACTGGAAGTGTCGCAAAAAGATCAGGTTTCATCAATGATCTTATAACTCTTTCTTAGAGATGGGAAAATCTTCAACTACTTACAAAGGGTACATTATCATAAAGCACTTTGGGGAAGCTCTCTTCTATACACATTTCCTTTATATCAAATCTTGCGCCATCCAAAAATAGCCCATAAATGTAAACGCCATCCTCGGGCGCGATAGTGAAGACAGTCTCTTTCAGAATCTCAAAGTCAAACGTGAGAAGATCTATGGGAATTTGATACTTTCGCGCATAATTTTGTAGTGTTCCAGTCAGAAACGCTTGCGTAAAGTAAAATCCAGGTAACCAAAATGTAACAGGTGGTCCTTCTTCGTACCATTTCTATATAATAAATTCATATGTAGAAAAATACTTCGAGATTAAGAAAAAATGAAATGCTAATGTAAGATAATATGTGAATAATTACCTGTATAAATGTTAAACGTTGTAGAAAATCATTGATATAACTGCCCAGAGGTTTCAAAGAAGGGTAAGAATTTTGTTTCCACAAAAGAGGTATCTTGCTCATCAGAATTGCTTCATGAATATCTTCAAGCTCGAAAGACATTATGATCATACCTAATTGCAGAATTGAGATAATATATTTTTTTACATATTATTTCAATTTTTATTATTAGTATCATTGAGAGATTTATTTAATAATTTAAATTAATTTGCAATATTTCACATATTTGTATATGTATTTCTTTCTTTGAAGAACAAATATATACCTTTGATAGCTTTTCGTATATTAATAAGACTATCTCTGATACAGCATAATAATTTATTAAATCTATCCATTTCTTGCACTAACACAGTATTCATACTTTCACTGTACAATGTAGGATATTTAACAAGTGCTGTAATAAGATCATAATTGTCTGGAAGCTTGTTCAGAATTTCTGTCGCAACATCGTAAACTATCTCGTCATCAGAAGCTTGTCTCAAACCGGATTTAACAGTTTCCTAAGAAAAAAAGACTTAGCAATTAGAATGTTTCATTATTCTTGTTCAAATTAGCTTGATTTGTTTACCCTCGTTCCGATAATAAATCTTAAAACTTAAACCTCTAAATTAATCTCCGGCAAAAAGCGTTTTCTTAAGTTGCTTTAAGTCATAATCCCTAAATTTTAAAAGTTGGCTATCCCATCTGTAAGTTTAGAACTTAACGCAATGTAAGCATTAGAATTTTATCTCAGGTGAAATCCGGGAAAAATCCTGACTTTTATTAAATTAATATGATAATAACAAGACACATGTACAATTTCGAAACGTGATATACAACATACCTTAATTTCCCAAAGATCCTAAGGTTAAGCAATAAAAAAAGTAATTATATGAAATATGAAGCACATATTTTATAATTATATAAAATATACTAGCAATTAGTGTAATTAGTATTGTAAATACATACCGTTCGATCCTGAATAATATTTGGCGAAATTAAAAGAAAAATAATTGTAAAATGTGATAATCATTATCTTAAAAGTTTAGATAAAAGTTACCTGAGTGAGCAGTAACGAAGTGAATAACAAGTTTGTCTCTCGCTGATCTTTAACTATATCGGCATTCTCGTTCATTCCAAATACACTTGGTTCTGTTATTATCGGAAGTTTTCTCGTATAAGCGACATAGGCATCGTACTCTCTGGCGTCCGGACAATAATAAATAGTCGACGTTGCATCAAAGTAGTATCTTTCCTGGGCCAACAATTCCCTAGAAATGATAATTTCTTAATCGATTGATTAAATTGATCACACAACTTACTAATACTCACGGACAATAAAACTTTGATAAAATAGTATTCAGCGTCCTACGATCCCATTCGTCCGTAACTCTACCCCCGTAGTTACACTCGCCCGTGAGATATTTTAAAGCGTCGAACTGCACATCCTCATAATCGTCCAAGAACATCTTCAGTTGTAAAACGCTGATTCTCAAATCGGTCTCGTTGAACTCGTAGGGGATGTTCCAGCCGATTGGACCAAACTTCCTTCTCTCTTGTACGATAGCGTGGAAGAAGCACAACGAGTACAGGAGCTTCTTGAAAGTCTCACTTTGAACGCAACCCTCGAAGAAGTCCGAACTGCTGACCGGATCGCTCGCATAAGATCTCAAAACATTCGCTCTGAGTCCTTTGGGTGGCTCGTTCGTAATTTTGATGCCGTTTTGGAGAACCGATATGGGAAAGTACTCCGCCGGATAGCTAGTCAACCACAATCGAAAGTTAGGATGAATTGTGTCAGGTGTGAAATCCTCGCATATCCTCTCCAAGATCGGCATCCAACTTTTAGCCAGGTGACAATTTTGCAATATCACCCAATTACCGCGCAACACGCCCTCTTTTATCAACTCTTCCGCTATCGGTCCTTGACCTAGGATAAATACACGGTCGATTTCATGCGACAAATTTGGTTTGTTTTAAAGGCTTACCTTGACCGAGGGATAGATAGAAGAGTCGCTTGGCGCCGTAGCCTTTCTCGTCGGCAAATGACAGCAAGGTTTGCATCGGATCAGCGCCCGGAGTCAGGATGAATATCAGTGGAATACAACAGTTGGAATCCGCGTAGGAGGATGCTAAGTCGAAAGGTGGTATTTCTACGTATTGAATACCCAATTTTTCTGCGGTATCCAGAAACAATCAAAGTATTGATTTCCGTCCAATTCGTGTGATTGATATTCGCTTCGAGTGTATTTCTTTACCTTGCACGAATAACTGTACTGCTGGGATAATTTTATCAGGACGGATACATCGCAGAATTAACAGTCGCTCGAATGAACTCAGACGGTCATAAGGCGCTGGAAAAGGCTCTTTTTGCGGTTCTCTCGAATCAAATATTCTTTTCCACTCGTCAACGGTGTTGGAGAATGATTCTCTGATGCCCTACGAAATTGATATCAATAAATTCTACATGGAGAAAATAATTTTGCTAAAGTATGTAAAAATTTTGCCAGATACAGATCTGAAAATAATTCTATTAGATCATAGCAGAAAATTATTATGTAGGACGCTCAAATATGATGATCGTAAAAATTTTTAATATTCTAGTAATCAATTTAAATATCTACATAAATCCTACATAATTATTTTGATGGCCTAGTAAAATTATTTTTAGATCTGTATCTGATCAAATTTTTAAATACTTCAGCAAAACTGTTCTTTCTGCGTACAAATATCGATAATTTGATCGATTACGCAGAAATTTACTTCGAATCCTTTGATGTTATCCAGTCTGCATAGTTCATCCCAATGCTTAACGAGCAGCCACTTGGCGGGATTAGCATATGGATTCTCCAAACTTATCCCACCGGTTAACAGGAACAACCATTGACTCGCAATTTGCATTTTGTCGTTTTTTTCGTACAAATTAAAAACAAGAAGTAGCGTAAACAATAATTTATCCTTCTCGAACAGAGATCTGCAGATGTTGACATAAAGGGAATACGTGAAATATTTGGTCAAATCCTTCAGACGTTGTTCGATATTTTCAGATGGGTCCGTATTGGTGATAGCCGTGTTGAAAAGATTCACAAACCAGACCAGTGAATATTGATACATTGGATCTATGTTAGCTAAAGATGCTGCAAAAAGAATAATTCAGATTGAAATCTGATTGAAATTTCTAATGTAGAAGTATCAATTTTTCTTCATATTGTTGATTTCTTATAATTTATACCTATCGTGAAAAAGAGTACAGTCGAATAAATTGCGATAGGTTGATACTGCGATCTCGCGGCGTCGATTGACTTTTCTGTGACTTCCGTGGCCGTCTGCTTCATTTGAATATCATCGCTCAAATTCTTGGACATCATTAAGATGTCGATGGCTTCCTCGTCCTCCAAGATATTACCTTTCGCCGCGGAAAGTATCTCCAGTATTTTGTCCTCCGTCTCCTTCAGCATTCTAGGAGACAACAAATTATATAAACAAAATAACCATATAGAATACCGAATCAAAAAACATACTTTTTATTCGCGGCACTCTGCACGATCAAAGCGCTTTTCTCCGATTCCAAATCAGGTCTTTCCCTTGCGACTACGGTACCAAGCAGCTGATCCTCCAAGCCGCTTGGTGTTATCATAAAATTCAGCAGAGTTACTCTCACAGCTACTTCCGGCAGATAATGAGGATTCCTTAATTTTGTCGTGATGTAAAGTCTGTTTGTCAATCATTGTCAATCATGATAATGATTAAGAAGATATTTCATTTAAAATTTCATGCTCAACTAACTTTGTATAAATCAATTCGTTATTACGCGAAATACTTTGAAAATTCAATAACATTAGTTTTAACAAATAAGATTAAGACTCTTAAGGAATCTTTTTGCGACTCATGTAATAAATAATAAAATTTGGCACTGAAATGATATACTGTACACTAACAAGCCTTTTTCTTATGGAACTTAAGATAAAATTGTACACTACACTAATTAAAGTATACCTAAAATCAGTGCTATATTCCACTATGGCGTCGCCCAATTTTATACATAATGCACCAGCGTGCTTGAAAGTCTGTTTGAGAAGTATTGGCTCAAGAATGGCATCTAATTCCTCCTCTACATTCTCAAGCAGCACTGGTTGTCCAAATTGTATCGCGTTTTCCAAGATTCTCACATAATCAGGCTGGCTCAACCGAATAATGCTTAAATTGTTCATCTGCTCCATATTTCTTATCCATTTGTTAGCCTGGCCTTGTGGATCTATCATCAGCGGCCATCTCCTCGCGTTTCTAAGGACAGAAAAAATATGCCGATAATTATGCAGCACGAGATACGTTAAAATTACGTTTGACTTACGTAATGATAATTCCGTTGTCAATGAAAAATGCATCGATGGGCAATCCGGCGATGTTCCACGACCTAATTAAAACCGGATCGCCGAGTATATCGCGCAGATGGAAATCGTGACTGCAAATCACTTGCAGATCCAAACACAGTTGCACCCATTCGTTTATCTGCTGCACACGAAACGGCATAGTGAACGGACCCAAGTAAGCTACCACGCCGGAAGCGATTATCACATCCCCCATTAACCGATGATATCTGCAAAAAATAGAGAAAAATCAATTGTAAGTTGTAAATTTTTAAATTAAAAACTATGTGCATCTGCAAATAGATCTTACTTATCGCCCAGTTGTTCGGCTGTTTGCGACCAACGAGCATATTCTCCGCCTAATCCTCCGATGAGATCCTCGGCTCGCTTCAATTTCATCTCACAATCCGCCACTTGATCCGACATCGCTTGAAATTCCACCTTCCTTTTGTTCAGAATTTCTTGAAGAACCAATAACTTTTTCTACAGAATTTTTTATGTGAGATATAAATATATATACTTTTTATCTTCTTAGAAAGAAATTATCGCCTAACATTATAACCCATTGATATTTGAACAATGCGTACCTGTATTTGACGTAATTGTTCTCTCTTCAGGTTTAACTTTTCTGCGGCGTTGCGATAACTAGCTTCAGCTTGCGCCAGTGCTCGCTTTTTAGGAGCGATGATTTTCGCGATTATATCGTACTCGGACATTGCGATGACCCAACGGCACAATCCTTCGCAAGCCGTCGATACTTTTTTCATCTTTTCTGGATCAAAGTCCGGATTGGTCAGATACTCCTTCCGTAATGTTTCTATTACCTTTTCCGGTATGTTGTCCTTATCAAAATGAAGTAACGAGTCTAAAAATTTAACATCGCTGAGCATTCTCAAGGCAGCCCTCCAATAATCATCAACCTGTACACCCTCCTTTGTCAGCACCTTCTCCGGCTTTATTTGCTGCAAATAATTTGTTTAAATGCGACAATATATTGTTAAAAAATTAACATCTAAGTAATAAAATAATGTCAGATTTTTTATAAATGGTAGTATTTATCATTTCCTATTGTAGGATGCATTGTACCCTGAGAACGCAAACGCTCTCCATAATGAGCTTCACGGCATATGGCGGATGCTTCATTGCTTTTACTATCGCAATATCTGCCAATGTTAAGGTATCTAATGCTGCTTGGGCTCGATTCAAAATAGGCATAGCTTCGGCTAAATCGGCATCGTATTCGGCTCTTATCATATCTGTCTCATCCGCGACTTTCTGCATGGAACGAATTTTTTATCATATGTAATTTTGTAAAATTTGTACTTCACTCTTAGTCTCAGTAATATATTATTTTATTTCTATTAATAACTCTAATATTTATTATTACTAAGTCACTATTTATAAATTTGGAATACAAATTTTACAAAACTGCATGATAAAAATTATTAATTAATGATATATTTTAATATCAATAATATATTTATAAAAAAAATTTGTGACTCTCACTTCAGCTGTGGCTTCGTCGATTTTAACCATTTTCTCAAATTCCACCGCTTCCTGACTTTCTTTCTCGACATCAGCTAGTATTCGTTGGATATCCTGCGTGGCTGCGATCAATTTCGGTTGTAACTGTTTTAATATATTCTGCATCTCCGTCACTTGGTGCTGCGCAGTGTCCAATTGCCCTAATCCACCCTCGTATCGAGCCTTAGCTCGCAACACTTCTCTGCAACACCATGCAAAATTAAACGGAAAAATTCAAGAAATTTAAGAAGATCATACTTACCCACGCTTTTTATCAAGCAGGCTCTGAAATGTCTTAATCATTTCGAGATAAGAAGTAGGAGTCACATAATTGTGGCGATTTAGACGGACGAAATATTCGTCACTTAATCTTTGAGTGGACACGTGGAAAAATTGACACATATCAATACCGGCGTTTTTTTCATGATCGGTGAGCTCGACTGTAGACAAGAATTTCGTCGCGACAGCCAACAAGGCATCCTCAGGCCACGGCTTGAATGATGAAAGAAAAAAAGAAACGATATAGCAAGATTATTTCCACACATACATGTCTCTTAAATGAAAATAAAATCTGGTGACTTTTTCACCTGAAGCCAATCTATGGTGCAGCAATTAACTAAAGCCGGAAATTTCCTAATCCGATTTCTAAAATTGTCGCCGATGGGAGACATAGTGACAACAATATGTAGCTGATCACGACAGATCTGCACAAATAGATTAAAAAGCGCCGCGGGACTGCCATCCGTTTGAAATGCTCGTTCTCGTTGTCGATCAATTAGTCTCATCTTCTCGCATATCTCACCCTTCTCATCAGCATTAAATATATTGGGCACCTAAATACAACAAATCGAGCTCGCTAAATTTTTTATGCGCAAAAAATATAATGAACAAAACAATGGAAACTGAAAAAAAATAATTCTATATGCTATTTATTTACCTCTCCCGAATTAAGCATATTGCTGATATCCTCCAAGAAGTTCTCCTCCTTAATCTGCGTGTCGCTGAAGAGAAAAGTCGAGTGCAATTCGGTGGCAGTCGCTTTTCTCAGAATGATTTTAATGTCTTCGTGCCATTCGCGCTGACCGTATAATTGCGTAAGTTCAACCTGGTACACGTCGTAATTGCAGATGTGCGACGCCAATCTGGTTAAAGATTGTCTTCCAGATCCGCCGATTCCGACGAGAAGAGCGTGATTTCGCGGTTGTCTGATGATACGAGTTATTCTCGACAGATGCTCGATCGCGAATCTATGCAATCGAGTTTAGTACAAGACCGGGCATTAATTGCAAATATCATATTTACCAAATATGAGAAATAGAATTTACCGGAATAATATCAAATTCATAGGTTTCCTCGTCATCGAATTATATTCGGAAAGATACGTTTCCACGATTTCTCGTAGTTGGTCCAGGTCGCTAACTTCTTGATACAACCGAATGTCCGCTTTGGCATCGACAAAGTCACAATATATCAGATTTCGTAATTCGTTTATGGTGATCTGGAGGATATGTGCAAAAATGCATGATATTAGCATAATTTTTTTTTTTATTAAGTATATTAAGTAAACGATATTAAAATCTTACTTTTTTTAATTGGTCTTTTTCAGGAAGTAAATCTTTGAAGAGCTCCTCTAACGAAATTTCCATACGGTTCTGTAATGTCACGCTTATTTGCTGTATTAGCCATTTAAGGTCGATATCATCGACTGAACGATCGCCAAACACACGAAGTATCTCGTGAACCCATAATCGTTTCATATTTGAAAGTGCAGGCATAGTTTCCGGGACCGATAATAGTATTCCCTATATGCAATGATTAATTGCAATAATTAATATTTTGTAAAGATATTAATAGAATAAATAACAAGATATTATTTACCTGGATAACTCTGGAAAAATCACGAAGATTAAACATGTAATGGCATTTTGCAGGTATCGGTAGCAAATTACGCAAGCTTTCTTTATAAATGTCTAGTGTTGCTAAGACAATTTGATCGATGCATGGATCAAACTCTTTGCTAAAACCCCTATAACGTAAGAAAAACATTTATATATATTATGAATCTTCATAAAGATATTTTCTCAAGACAAACAATATTCTCTGAATATTTTCTTCTTAAATTGTTTCTTTATTTGTAAATTTACAAACCTGGTATCAAGATGCCATAGAACAATCTTACTAAATATCGTGATCATAACGTCATCTTCAAATTCAGATACTGCCAGAACAAAGAAATGACGTTTGAATCGCGACGTAACGTCTTTACTGACAATTGGCGGAGCCATTGCGCACATTAATTGGATCTCAATCAATTTTATTAGCATGCCTTCTTTTCTATCGAACCTGTCAATAGAAATTGATATTAAATATATTATTATTAATATTAAAAAATTAATATAAAAAATTGCAAATATGTATTGAAATTATTAAATTCAATACATTATTCAAGCAATATTCAAATCGATAGCGATATTATGATAGCATAGACAATAGGATACTTTACCATTGCCAATGATCCAACCATTGTCGCAATAATTCTATGGGCGGCTGCGCTCCGAATTTTTCTTTCAGCGGCATTGAGACATCGTCGACGAAAACGATCCATCGTTTACCTATGGGAGGACCATAAACGCCTTTACGCCTGCGATCTAACTTGCTCATAACAATATCTTGCGTCTGATTAGCTGTAGTTTGTGCCGAAAAATTGATCAGCAATGGCATGTTCACTGCGGCGTTGTTCTTTTTTAATAGGAAATCAATTATGTACACTGACTTTCCAGTGCCCGTCGGACCTACAAAGAGCACTGGTTTCTCATTTTGTATCAGCATCTGAAAGAGTGCCGTGTATCGTATTGTTTCTACGGTCGGCACGATTATTTGATTGACAGGAATATCACGAGGTATCGGCGGTACTGATATTAACTCGTCCGACCATAATTTCCATTTTCCTTTGCCCTGATAAGAAAAAATAACGTAAATTTGCTAGAGTAAAGTTTAAAGGAATGAAACGCTTCTTTATAAAAAAATATATTTAATCTAGGTATTAAGGCTAAATAAATAGATTTTTGTCTACCTCTTTAATAAATCTGTAGTCAAATACCAGATTGTGTTTCGGCATGATAAAAATATAGGGTTTTAAAGGTGGCGGAACTGGTTCTTGTAATTGAAATACTTCTATCAACGCAACTGGAAATTCTCTCTCTAGAAGACCACGGAATAAAATACTAAATTGTTCCCTATAACTAGCTTCCAAAGTGCCTCCCATTGCCCAGATGCACGAAAAGAAGAATGAGCCCTATATCAATATTTGAAATTAATTCATTAGAATTTTTAACATTTAACATTAACTATTTAATCATTAAATTCCAACTTCTATTTGTGCTCGAAGATCAAAGTCGCTTATATTTTTCACGATTTCTTCGTTATAATAATCATGCAAGAAGCAATCCATGAGATAAGTGACGGATCGTAGGAGATTCGAATCGGGCATGGGACATATTTCCTGCAAATTGATAAGATATAAACAAAATTTAGTCAATTCTGTTTATAAAAAGAAATCTACCTTTACGTTGCACCAGCGTAAGAAATGAAAAAGAGGTTTGCAAAACCTGAGGAATAGCGATTCGTACAAGAAGACTCGTAGCCATTCATCTATCGCTTCGGGCAATTTAGCTATCCAAGAATTTAATATGGGTTCCCATCCTAACGCTCCAGGTTCCATGTAAATCATTCCTGTTTCGAGTGATTTATTAAATTTGTTTTTTATTCCCGAATTGGGCTGCACTAAAACTTTGCATCTCGCTTTTGTCATACTTCAAATATATATCAATTTCATTTTAAATAACGTGTACACTAGTTTAGCTAATGTGCACTAGTTTAGCTACAGAAAACAGACGTTTGATTCACCTAAATTTCGTGTTTAAATTTCGTGTTTGTCAAAAAATCTCATTTACCGCAACGAGACACCGTGGCCGGCGAAGCAGCTTCCAGATCTAACGGCTCGAATATCAAGTTGGTCGTCGGCGCTAACCGAATGATCTCTCCGCTCATCAAACATAGCTTCTTATTATCATCAAGAACAGTGTTCATACTTTCTATCCATATCGCATCTATCGGACCATCGAAGATCAACCACTTTCGATTGTTGTTTGGCGAAGTTGCAAAAGCTCGATAGCTAATGGCCAGAAGGCCGTCGTTCCATTCGTGAGATGCTGGATCAAATTGTCCATACAGTTGTTCTAGAGTTATTGCCTTCGGATTGATCACCGTTATTTCCACCTTGCGCTCGTTCATCCAATTCTATTTAAAATCAAAATTGGATTTTAAAGACATAATTTTGTTCTATAGGGAATTTTCAATGGGATTGTGGGAACAATTATATCAACATTCAGAGCTTACGTTCTCTTCGCAAATCTCAAGTGCGTCAGCTAACATTTTGTAGGCTGTAGTTTTGCCAGCAAAGGAATGCCCGACGATCATGAATCCATGCCTGACTAACATCATTTCATATATTTGCTGGATCTTCTCCAGAAACACGGGGACGCACTGAATATTCGCAGCAGCGCATGCTTTATATGCAGATGCATTTAAATGCTCATAGTCCGGTTCAGGAAGTTGCACATTTGGAAAGAGATCCGAGATAATACTCTAAAACGATATTTTTGATGATCCTTTTTTTTCTCGCGCATAAAAATGTGCGTACATACTTGAAAGAGGGATATATCTTCCTTAAGGAACTTGGGCAAATTCACGTCCTTGATACTACGCAGGATTAAAATGTCCTCGTTTTCTTCCGGATATTTAAGTTTCAAATTTCCTGCCGCTATTAAGACAGTTTTCACCGCTCGCATACCGTAGTCGTAATGATTCTGGCTGGATAATTGCTCCGAACATAATTTATAAGCCATAACTATCTTGACAGACAAAGGCCTCGCGTTGTAGAATCCATATGAATACAAAATATTTTCCGCTATTAAGGCATAATCCGGTACCTATTAAATATTAATTGTAGAAATACTAATGTATGGGAAAATAAAGGATGGTTCTTTTAAATGCGTTTATTTACCATCATAGCCACCGATCGGAACAAAGCTTTTAAATTGTCCGGTAATTCTGTTCTGCCGGCGTATCCCGGACTCATCGTGATGAATACCGCACAGGTACGATCCAGTTTCAATTCTGTATTCTCGAATATAAAGATCTTGTACCGTGCTTGTATAGCTCGTTGAATAGTTAAAATCTGCTGCGCCACTACCGATAGGACTTCCAGATCAATGCGGTTAAACTCATCAAAACAAGACCATGCACCCGTGCTGGCTAATCCCTACAGGATATAATATAAATTTAAAATAAAAATTTAGAATAAAAATTTAGAATAAAAATTAATTTGTTATATAAATTAAGTATTTTTTCTTTTTTATTTATATTACTTGAAAACAAAAATATATATTTTAATCTTTAGCTTAGTATAATTAAATTTATGTTTGTACATTATCGGAGTAAAATAAAATTCAAATGAAAAAGACATTCTTTTCAGTTATCGTGATAAATAATGCGCTAAAAATTTTTCCTGAAGTAATTTTGCCTGAATTGTCTATTTTTGTTTGAACATCTTGATTTATATATTGAACATCTTAATATACTTGTTTTTTCATACTTTGAAAAATTTGCCCAGAGCAATATAGTTTAATCCTTCCGAGCAGTTAAATACGACACATTGCTTGGCGACTGCCTTGGCGAGGTCTTTAGTAGTCTCCGTCTTTCCTGTCCCAGCAGGTCCTTCCGGAGCACCGCCGAGATGCAGGCTAAGTGCACCGAACAAGGTGCGATAGCATCGATCGGTGAGTGGCGTTATTACTAATCTCGATGTATTGCCTAGGTACTCGTATGCATAGCCCAGTTTAGAGTTTATCATCATCGTATACAAGTTCTCGTCCTACAGAACATAGGCATATCTTAACTATATATTTTACAAAATATGTACAACAAATGTGCAAAATGTACAAATGTACAAAATTATAACAATTTATTATTTACTATCCAATAATATCTCAGTTGGCAAAGCCACTTAAAGTCCGTGATTTGATTCACATTTTGTTCGCATAGCTGCACCAATACGTCGCGACTGTGAACATCCAGCGTTACTAAAGCCTCTGTAAGTAAGAAGGAGACAAAGCAAATAATTTTCGAATTTGTATTCCAGAACATATTCTTAAACAAAATACCGACCCAAAGTTGTCCGATTTTGTCTTGATAATTTACCGCGGACAAGCTTGACGATTTCATTAAGTTCGTGTGTGCACGTTTCTATATAACTTTTTAAACTTTCAGTGCCTTTTGGAAGTTTGTCGGTAACGTCTGCCGTCCAGTATAATTTAGTGACACAGAGAACGGTCTGCCCCGGCCATTCCAGAGCCCAGTGACTCCTAGCTTTAGTCAGAAAGGCATTTTTAGCTTTTATCACCTGAAGGAAAATCGAATCGATATACTATATATATTCAATCTACTTATCTTTTTCTAGATTGTTATTGATTTTAATTGACCTGGGCCTTCACACTTTTCTTCATATCAGTTTCAAGCTCAAGGAGCCACTTTTCCACTTGTCCTCGCGCAGCAGCCGTATCGATTACGTCCTCAAGAATAATTACTTCCTCTTCAGATGACATCATTGCTATAGCCTCCATGATATCTGTAAAACTCAATTTTGCGATGCCCTCGAAACACTTTTTCAGATGCGGCTGTACTCTAATAATTAATAAGTAAAAGATAATTAAAATACTTATAGATAATCAAATAAACAAAATAAACAACAACAAGACGTACCGCGTCGGATCTTTTGTCTCAGATAAGATTTCCAAAAGTTCGTCGTTGGAAAGAAAGAAAAATCGCGGGAAAAAGAGTCGCTTCTTCTCCAAATAAGTGGTAAGTCCTCTCTGTACCAAATCAAGTAAGTGAGTACATTTTTTCAAACGATCCAGCATTTTATCAATATCGATCACGACCATGACTGCTGGTTCCTCCTCGACGATCATCATCAGTTCCCTCCAAATCTAGTTTACAAACACATTTTAAATTTTAGATTGTTTACAATTTGTTTATTGCATGTACATATCAATGAATAATAACGCAGCAATTTAATTTGCGAACAATTACGAACTTTATCTACGGCGCTAAATCGTCGATTCTCCTCTGGCATTTGTTGTTGTATGTCGGGCGATGAGAAAATCGGTTCAAGATACATCCATGTCCCTTGAACCATAAGCCAATAATCCATAATATCTTGCAACATGAGCAATTTGATTTCCCATTCCCTGATGACATAGAATATATAGAATATAAATATACTATATATGTTATATAGTATCCATGATTTTTTGGGCCAAAATCAAAATAACAAAATCGATAAAAAAAAAAATTAATACTTTTCTTTAAAAAATCATTGATTAAAATTTTGTAAACCTACAAAGTTTCTTTTTCAAATGGTTTTATATAAAGAGAATTTTTCATCGTTTGGGTTTTCGTCAGATGTTCATCAAGCAACAGCTGTATCTCTTCCACACTGGCAATAATATAAGTGCCGGTGTCGCGATAAGGAATAACGGTAAACGCAATATCCGCCCAATCAGAATACATTTTGTATAATGCCTTTTCCAGCTTGCCCTCTTTGGTAGCCGCCTCGGATATCACGTCAAATTTCACGACGTAATCGCCTAAACCATAGTCGAGAATCTATGAAGTATAAATACGATTACAATGAGTCTGAGTCAAGTGACAAGCAAGTTAAGTTTGCCTTTACCTTGGCCAATGTCATATATTGATCGATTTTTATCGGAAATCCAACAATTTCCGAAATCTGCTCCCAATGACGGCTCTTCAGAGAGGGGTTTCCGAGAGTCAGTATTACCGGCATATGCTCTTTAAACTCTTCGATTTTCATCTTTACGATTTCTACCAGCTTCCTCACCGCAGGTTCTTCAAAAGTTTTTTCCAACTTGAACACTAAGCGAGATGCATTGCTCGTTTCGGTCTCGATCACCTCAGGATCGTACAAGCCTATCATAGCTTCAGTCCATTTTTCATGATTAGTTAAAAATTCACAGGCAATATCGTAGAATTTTTTGTAGGGTGCCAATTTATCCGCTATCTAATCATAAAAATATTATTACTTTCATCATGTTAAAAAGATAGGAAAGCAAAATAGGAATTTAAAATTTTACATAAAATATAAAAGCTTTGAGCATGTAATAATTTGTATAATTTGTTTATATTATCAAATCGCAAAAGATTTAAATATATAAATATAAATCAATGATGAAATTATCTTCTATTACCTTCTTCCTTAAAGGATATTGTGACATTTCCCAATCGAATAATTTCTCCTCTTCATTGAATTCTGCGATTATATCCATAGCAGCTATCAACTTTTTATCAAGACTCGCAGCCTTTTTCTTATATCGTTGTATCTCCTCGATATTGCCCCAATATTGTAATTCGTCACAATATTTTGCATAAAGCTGAAGATCCTGTTGAAATTTTTCGATTCTAACTTTGAGCATTGCCTGATATTCGCCCGTTTTACTCGCAACTATTTCTCGGTGTTTTTCAAAAATTTCAGGCATTGTGTAATACCTAATATAAAATTGTAATATAGTTATTCACATTAAAAGTTTCTTTTTCTCTAATTTAAATAATTACTCTACCTTTAATTATATTAATCGATGCAATTTATTTTTACATTGAGTTATTTTACATTGAATTATAATAGATTTTATTGCGAATTAAATTAATATAATTAAACTCACCAATGGAAAACAAAATTGTTGTTTTTCAACTCGACCGGCGTCAAATGGTGATAATCTGATAAAAATATTATATATTTTATTACTTCTTTCAATCGAGTTTCGAGCTCGAAAACAGTTTCTGTTTCAGATTTATGTATGAAAGCCTGCAATTTCACGAGTTCTGAAGTATTGGGCGGTATACTCAATGCTTGATCTGCGATGTTTTGATAAACATCTCCTATACTGATAATTAAAAATTATCATTAATTATTGAGTTTTTTTAATAAAGTTAGTTACATTTAAATGCGAAAATTAAAACGTACACTCGAACTTTTTGCTGATAATCAGCGATCATTTTGGAAATTAATTCGCCTTTGAGATGAGCAGCTGTAGAAGCAATGTGCCCTATAATATGATGTCTGCAGACTTCAAAGAGATCAGTAAAAGATGTTCTATAAAACTCTAACGGAACATTCTTGCTCAATCGATCGTAATAATCGACGAGTTCGCAATACTTTTGATATGGATGAGGCGGTTGAACCTTCAGAAATTTCTGAATGTAATTGACATCCTTGTCATTTATTAAACTCATATATTTATCAAACTCGTGCAATTGCGATTCCGGATCGGTTCTATAGCGTTGAATTAAATTTGATATGACATTCGCGTGCTGCTCCAAAATATCTGAAGAAATTACGGGCTACGAAAAACACGTAAGAATTTAATAAATATAATAATGAAATATAACTTGATTAATAATTTTTAATATCATTAATGATTTTAATAATTATTTAATAATTTTATTAAAATGTTACACAATATTTTTATTTGAAGAATTTAATATTGAACTTAAAGTTGAAAGTAATAACGAAATATGTACCTTGAGCAATTCAAGGGATTCACTATCAGAAGAAATCCATCCCAGTTTTACTTCTGCTCGTGGTAACGTAGTTACGGCATCATAAAGAGAATTCAATAGCATCAAAAGTCCATTTACGAATGCTTTAAATGTGGGATCAAAGGAGACGGACGTATTTCGTACCACGACATCTATATTAAAGCCACAATTTGTATGCTGTTCAAGATAATTATATTTAATCCATTCAGTTTTGAAATGCATATTAAAAACAAATTTTAATGAAACATTAAACAACTTAGATATATATATATATATATATATATATATATATATATATATATATACTAC